TTAGTCACCAACAAAGAGTTAACAAAGAGAAATGTAAGGATGTTTCTCATAAGAAGAAACCTCTTGCAAAAAAAAAAAAAAAAATTCCTTAGGCTTAAGGAGATCAGTATCACCCCTGACATCATAAACTCCGTGTTCAGCACCAAACCCACAAGCCCCATCTCTTTGGCATACGGTTTCCATCCAGACAAAAACTTTTAAACATGTATGCAAACCTATCCTTAAGCATGTGCTGGGGAGCTTTGATGCTCTGTGCACCAAAGGAGAAAGTAACTCCGTTCTGGAGGGCAGTTTCCTCCTGCAGTTGCTGGGCCATCTTTTACTATGGGCTGAACAAGGCCCTGCATGAAAGCTATTATTCCCCATTTAGAAGGGATCTCAGATCTGGATCCAAATCCTGATCCTGACTCATCAGCCCACAACAATAGGATTTCCTTAATTTCAGCCTCAGATTCCAAGTTGTGCATTACCTTTTCCTGTACTTCCTGTATTCTTTTCTCCCTTCTATTTTTTTTTTTTCCCCAGTATGGAACACAGAATTTTAATTTGATATATGTAAAAAAAACTCATCCAAAAAAAATTGCCATTGCCACCTGCTCCTTTCCCCTCACCATCACTCACTAAAGACACCATCTGGGAATGACTAGCAACCAGAGCAGGGAGTGAGCAGTCCATATGTTAAAATTTAAAATTTGACAGCCCTATTCTGGCCTTTCCATCACCCACTATTTTTCTATTTTACAGTTTTAGTACTATAACAAGTGTCTTCAACATTTGCAAGGACTAAACCAATTTTTTTTTTAATTGTGGATGGATCTTTATTTTAAGGTAAATCTTTCATTTAGGTTGAAATCCAGCAACTTTTGTCCACATTCAGACTTTTTCATAAAATGTAACATGAAATGGGATGAGACAATTATCAAAACCTGTGGCAATTACTGTACAGCTCATGTATTAAATTACTAGACCAGAAAGAAAGATGAGAAAGAAAACACAGTTCTCTCTTCTTTTGCATTAGTTTGTGACAGAGCTCTTGGTACTGTTAATAATTTTTCACAAGATCAGTAAGAAATCTAAATACCTTTTTTTCTTCTTACCGTTTCAATCCCCATATCCCATCCTGTGGATTTGCCTTATTATTCACATGCATCCAAAGTGTAGTGAGACTCTTAACCAAAAGCAAGATAAAATTTTTAAAAAAAGCAATATGCATTCATATCACTATCAAAATAGGCAGGAGAAGTCCAAAGGAAGATACAGTACCTGAAATTATGTTTGTTGCTTACTTAACTACCCCTGGACCCAATTTGCCACAAACTAACTCCTCCTGTAACAATGGAACTTGTAGATGCATACCTCTGGAAAGGTTTTGGTGCACATTCATGTGGGGAACATTATAACCTAGGCTTAGGCAGATGGAGGAAAAATAACTTGTGAAAAAGGCCAGACACACAAACTTTTATATGTACAAAGCAAAGCCAGACTGAGGCATTCCACTGAATATCAGCAGATCTAGTACATTTATCTTTTGAATGCACACATTTGTTTAAAAAGCAAAAAAAGATTCTGTAAGACCATTTATGAACATCTGAAAGAAGTTTAGACGTTGCAAGACTTTACTATTACATACTGAATAAATCCAGCACCCAATAAGACTCTTTGAAACTGAAACTATATTAAGCATTTACTTTAAAATAAACCCTGCAACTACACCTGATAAAAGCTTCTGAATGCTTTTGTACTCTGCTCATAACCCTTTCAAGGTTATTTGGTGCCAAACCAAATATTGTTAATGCAACTCAGGAGGTGTTCAGGCAGGCAGCACAATGGGTATCTCAAGGATGTGCATGAATTCAAGAAAATGTGAGGAAAGAGGAGGCTCATCAGAATACCTGTTGGAGAAACTCAATTCATGCTTCTAAAAGGTCATCTGCACTTGGGCATTATAATTTTAACATTCAGTTTGTCAGTAGTTTTCCAAGTTTTAAACTTGTGTGCAGATTCAAGATTTTATTGATAAAGCATTTGGTCAAAATATTCATTGCTATGAGTCAATATCTAAGTGGATAAGGATCAGATTCTGACATCTTCAATCCTCTGGGTGTAGGTAAAAATCATCAGCTTTTGCCACAGGGAAAAGGTCTACTTTGAGATTGCTCTAGTGGAAAGGCAGAATTAGGCAGGAATTAGCACTGTACAGAGAGTTATTTCTTTTAGCCACAGAGTTCTGAGATTTACAGCTGAAGAACTAGTTTGTTGTTTTAGTGAGAACCTACCCTGTAAAAAGCACATATTTTATACCTGCCCTCCCTCCTCCCCTCATATTTTGGAACCCTACCAGCGTGGCTGCCAGCTGTGACCAGACTGTCAATTATTTGGCTCCCTCACGGAATGGCTGGATCAAATCCAGGGCTTCTTATTTACAAGGACAAAACAAAATCCAGGTCCCTTTTGTTTGTATACAGGTGCTCAATTAGGAGAGATCCTACAGGGAAACAATTTTTTTTATTTGAACCATAAAAGACATTGATACTCTTTAATCTGAAAAGTCAGCAAAAAAATGGGGGACTGCCTCATGTCAGGAGGAAAAGTGGTTAGTAGAGTCAGGAGTTTCCCTGACTCAGTGCACTTTCCTCAAAAATAACCTATTAAGCCCAGAGAAACACAAGGAAAAGCAATGTTTAATCTCAGTTTCAAGTAGTTTTCAACCAGAACTGAATTCCAGAAACTTTGTCACTGTTGCAGTTTCGCTTTGTGATAGCTTTGCCACATTCCCACACACACCTCCAGACCCTTGGGAAAGAATCCTCTCCCAGTCACTTCTGACTCTGCTTTGAGCAGGAATTAGCCCTTTGTTGGGAGTGAGAGCCACGATTCTCTGTTACATCTCCCCCCAGGGGAGTTGTGCTGCCTCCCCCAGCCATGGCAACCAGTTACCTTGGAGAGGTTCCTCTCCAAGGTGTTATAAGGAGCTTTATTGAAATAGCTAATTGGTGTTAAGCAGGAATTCAGAGCCCTTTTCTGGGCACGGTCATTGCAACAATTGCAACTCCTGGGACAAGAATTGCTAATGGAAGAGTTTTCCACATTTTTATCAAAGCCGACTCATTCAGTAAAGTTTTCCTTTAACAAATTCTGAAATATTGGTTAGTATGTAATTTTCACATTTTCACTGAGATGTGCTTGCTATAATTATTTTTTTTTCTCATTATGACCTGAGATTGGGAAAAAGTGCCTAAAATAATGTTATCTTTTGCAATTCTTGTTTTGGCTTTGTGTTGTATTTTTTTGTACAGTGGGGCAGCAAAAGTTTAAATATTCTTCTGTTGTCTCCCTGCTGCTCTGTGGCATTTAAGCTGCTACTGTTACTAGCCAGAAACAGTTAAGCATTTATTTTTCTTTTGTATTTGAGGTTCCTCTTATGTCATGTCACATCAAAACTTTGACAGCAATACTTTGAAATAAGCATTGCCTACTAGCATAAAAGAATTCTTAGATATTTCTCTGAATATTTTTTCATAGAAAGATAACTCAAGATCAACAGGATGATATCAACAACAAAGGAAAGCATAGTTATTACAATAGAATAAAAGCTAAAGAACAATCCAGTACAATCATATGAGTGCTATCATGTGCTATGGTGGAAGTATAGGCTAGGAGACCAACAGCAGCAGCTTTCAAGGTTCTACAGAGGGTACATAAAAATTTAAAGCACTGCTTAGGCTGTCGATATAACCAGGAATATTTTCCTCTATCTTCTTTCTTAGTGCTGAGGATCTCAAAACAATGGGTAGAACACATCCATTGCTGGGAGGTGTGGTGCTCCTCTAGTCTCTGTGGACTTTGTCTATATCCCCAAGCAAAATCATTCATCATCCAATTTCTGAATGTGAGGAAGACTTTCTACCGCCTTCCACCATCTCTTTAGTATTTAGCAGTGCTTAATTGCAGCAGATTCTCAGATTAAGGGTCTTGGCAACAATCTCCCTCCTCATAAAAATCTCCCTTGAATTCTCAAAGAAGATGCTCTTAATGGTACTTATCTTTCCCTGCAGAAACAAAGCCTTAAATATTTTACAGAAAAGATTTATTATATCTTCAGTACCACAGATAAAGGTGTTTAAAGGTGTTACATTTGCACCACAAGGAATGATTTGATTAAAGCAAAGGAGATACCTCTGGTATAAGAAGGGATTCTCTGGCATTCATGATGCAGAAATTTCAAACTGCTTTTGAAACTAAGCATAAAAATTAATGGCTCAGCCAAGCATTGTAAATTCCTTATAACACTTTGATGATACTTAGGCTGGCACACGTGCTAGTTCTTTACACATAAATAAATTAACATCTCTTTTTCAGTGGAAATCAATACAAATGGGCTTTGTCCATGGAACAGGTGACCTCTTTGTTGTGGAGCTTGAGAAATGTTTACTAACAATATCTGGAAAAGGGGGACCAACTATTGGTCTATGCCTGAGACAACTTGGTACGACCCCAAAAGTGGTGGTCAGTTTTGACTTCATCATTAGGGGCAGTGGGAATGACTTTGTAATTCTGGTGCCCAGAGGATAATCCTGTTGCTGCCACACCTTCCTGCTTTCCTTACAGGGCTGAGGTAATGCAGCAGCAAGATCATACCTTCAGACTGATCCTTGGATATGTATAAATATCCAGATATACTCACCTTCATCCTTCCCAGAGGCACATTCCTGCTGGCTTAGCACAGCAGGGGAGCAGAAGAGTGAAGAGTAGGACGAGCGCTCCTAATAACTCTGCCTAAGCATGTTTATGACCAGTAAGTGCCAACAGAGATACACCCAGTTTATTTTTACAGATTTCATACAAATACAAACTTCATATTCCAGTTACCTTGTATCCCACTCCTGGAATATGCAGAGCCTGGCTTGATTCATTCAGCAAAGGTAGAACATGGTCAAAGCAGATCTGAAACCCCCAGGGGCAGGTATAACTCCTTGGGGTTGCAACTCACCACCTCTTACCTTTCCAAATTCCCTGAAGTTCTTTCGTCACTATGTGTTTGCTGGAAGATGGACATGGGCTCTATGTAAAGCTGTCACAACTCCTGGAAAGAAGATTCTCTTGCATTTGCTCTTTGCAAGTCGACTTCTGGTGCCACTGAAATTTTTGGGAGCTTTTCCACTGCCTTCAGAGGCCAGGACTTTGCTCTCTGTAAAAGTCACTGCATGAAATTCAGTTAGTTGTGAAAGGCTCATACAAGAGAGAACAAAAACTGCTGCTGAGTCAAGACTTTTATTCACAGAGGAAAAACTGGAATGACAATGCTCTGATATCTGCTGGGTATAGAATTGCAGTTTTTAGTATTCCAGAAAGCTTTCCAGCAATTTAACACCCTTGTTGTATCCAAAGCTATGGTTGCAAATTATATAGAAACAAATGAATGTTCTTTCTTTTTTTCTAGATAGTTAAATTCACAACAAGCTTTTGTTGTTCAGAGTTGAGAATTCTTTGGGTTCTTTTGTGCCTTCATTAACATTTGTCCACAAAATCAGTGTGAGTGATTAGTCTAGAATATGACATCTATCCTTCATTGTGAATCAGGGAAAAGATGTGCTTGAGGATTAAAATATTTTTTTATATATTCACTTATTTCCTCATTAGCCAAACTCCAAACTGCCAGACAGCTTGTATATCTCTGTACTGAATGATCTAATGGAACTGAACAACCATTTTGGTTATATCCTACTCACCAAATCTTAAAACAAGACAATACACTCTATACAGAAATATCTTTCTTCTTTTGTTAAATTCTGGTCTTCTACACAACAGATTCATAATATTTATGAAATTCAATGCAGTTAAGATGATGGAAAATCTGGAGTCTATGAAAGATTAACAGTAATAACTACTTTCTTCTTTTGTAGGTGCAGCCATAAAATTCAGACAGAATTGCTTTTATTTTAGTGTTCCAAGAAAGCTATTCAAGAAGCAAAGCTCAGTCTTTACCAAAGCAAAGTCTCCATTGGTTGTGAGGGTAATTAGATTCCTGCAGAAGGAGTAGCCCTAAAGGAGAGCACTCCAGATACTCCATGACAACAGGGACATGCACAGGCTGATCCTGCTCACGCTGAAGACTCCTGGAGTCACGCTGCCTCACCAAGGGCAGCATTGCTGGGATAAACCAAATTAAACAGAAAGCCATTTACTACAAAGCATTGCTTAAAAAAAGAATATGGATAGGTGATAATTTTTTCCACTCCAGCCTGGTTTTCCACTTGATTCCAAGTGTTGCAGGCCAAACACAATATCTGGTACAGAGGGGATGGAGGCTCCTGCTCTCTTTGTTTCTGTCCTGTAGGTGTTCTGGTTTATCAAAGAACTCCACCTGGAAGCTTATTTTTCACACTAAAAGTAGCTGACCCCTCCTCCATACTTGAGTTTTAGAGATTTTATAAGGCCAGGACATAGTGGGGTTTTTTTTCATTTTTCACTCCATGTCATCAAAGGGACTAGCAAAGGATCCCTTTTTCTTTCTTGGCACTGGCAACTAGAAAAAAATGGCAAATATTTGGCACCTGGAAATGGATGATGCTTAAATACAATTGATTTCAACAGTGCAATGATAGACCAACTGAAAAGCAAGGAGAAAACACAAGCTCTGGAGCCGTAATGTACTGACATGGGAAAAAAAAGCAAATATTTCTGTTGATTCCCTACTGGACTGCCTGATTAAATAAGGATTTACTAATCTTTAAAACCCCTGAAAAAGATACAAGATAAAATCCAATAGTCTCTAGCAATTGCCAACACTTAACACCAGAATAATCCATTCCTAACTCTATCCCTAAACCTTTTGTTGTCCCAGACATGGATAAAGAAAGTCTAAGCAATATGAGGATCTCCTGGATGAGTCAGGGATTATTGAATCTATGCTACCTCTTAGAGGAGGAGTCCCATGCATTACCTTTCTGCCAGTCCAAGTTAGCTGTCCACACAACAAATCACATTTCAAGTCAAAGTTCTTCCAGACTTCCAACAGAGATTTTCCCTCCTCTCAATTTCATGCCATATTGTTCCTTCATCAAACACTTGAGGGTATGGATATAGTTATATTGCTGCAGGTAATCTCCCCTTTATCTACCACCCAAAACATGATAAATTTCTGCCTGGATCTGACTACTTTATCCTTCTTCCTCCAACATGATGTATATCCTCATAGCTTTATATGCTTCTCCAAGTGAGTGAGTGCTAGAGCTTTATGTTGTTAGGTGGTTTATTGGACAGCCTGGTTTGTGACTTGAAGGATTTTAATGTGGCTTTTGGGTATTTGAATAAGTATTTCTCCCATCTTTTCACCTTGTAAGTGTGAACCAACAGGTTTAGTTCTTGCTTGCTTAAATCCCACTCTCCAACCACTTCTCCACTTTACCCGTGAACACCTTTTCAGGTTTCTCACTTTCACAACATAATTATCACATTCTCCATGTCTTGTAATTGAGTATGAGAATTTCTCTTAAGCCATTTTTTGCAGTTCTGACTGAATAAAATCACACCATTGACAGAGCACTCAAAGCTCCGTGCAGGGAGCTGTACTTTGCCATTTTTCACTGCTTTTCTTGGTCATGGTGCTTCACCCAGGAGAGTGATTCAAAACAGACTGGAAATATACAAGCGACACCTCTGTTCCTCCATCACAAAACCTATCTGGCAATTTACTCTTGATCAGAAAAATATCATTGGGTATAGTCTTAAACTGCCACTCTCCCTTCAACTGCTAATCATAGATCAACATTCAGGACTGTTATTGACAAAGGTAAATCCTACCAGGAATAGACTTTGGTGGTTCCTTTAGCAAGTCAGCCCTAATAAACATAGTAGAATTTGACCTGTTGTAATTCTATTAGAAAAAGGCAATCTGGTTTGTAAGGCAAGAGCTGTTCTTTGTAAACTCATGCTGTTTATCACTCTTGGAATTACTGCCCTGGATTTAGTTATTTTTCTCTCAATATTTGTCCCATTATATTAATGAGGAACACAATTATAGTTTCAGGCTTTGATCCTGAAATGAGCTCAGTAGGAGCTTTACAAATGTCAAAATTTGGTTAATTTCATGCCCTTTTTCACTTAAAACTCTGTCCAACTAATACGAAAGTCACTGGATATTTCACTTGTTGACTTAAATTTAGGTAAAACATAAAGGAATCTCTTTCACTGATGCCTAATCCACACTAACCTTAAAGTGTTTTACCCTAGGTCTTACTGAAGGCACAGCCTTAGTGTATTTTTATCAGCCTTCTTTCCCCTGAACTCTTTCAGGCAGTGTTTCCTTTCTTGGTTTGGTGTCCCTGGATCTTTCTGGAAGGCCACCTTTCCCTCTAGCTTTCCTTCTCCAGTGTAGCTTTTCTTCTGTGCCATACCTGGGTATGTGACATCTCATTTGCAAAGCTGCTTTCTCCATACATTCCTCTTCCCGAAAGGCCTGAGCAGCAGGAGCCATGGTTTTATGAGGGACCAAACAGTAGGTGGGTTGGTGTTATTGAGACATCTTTGGCTTGGGAAATCAGGCTGCAATTCCACATAGAACACTTTAAACAGGCTCCCTCACACTTTTCTACTCGTCCCATCCTGGCAGAAACCAGCAAGTGAGAGACATGAAAAGTGGGGAAAAGAACAAAGGGGAAAAGGTTTTAGGCATTATAAATGTTTGCATTTGGCTTAAGGAAGGGGCAAAGGGTCAGCTTCATTCTTGTTTTGTCTGATATGATTTATATGTCACTGTTGACAACAACAGGCCAAGTCCACATTATGGATTAACAGCTTGGCAGTGAAGGACAGAGTCATTTATTTACTTTTCATTACAGAGTTCATGGGTTTTGGACTCTCATATAGGACATGCTGGGAGATTTCTCTGTATTTTCCTAATATTTACTCCTAAGCAGACCTTGGATGAGAGGGCAGGCTTTGATTTGTGCACATTTGATATTCCATTGTGCATTAGATGTTGTATTGCTTGTCATTTGGCACATCTGACTTACAGCAGAGGGACAAAATAATAAAAAAAATTTAGAAAACAGTTTATGACGTTAGAATTGGAATGAAACAAGAACAGAATTTTTTTTTTTCTTCTCTGGATGTAAGAGCTTTTTGAAAAAAACTACTCAACTATAACCTTATACATCAAGTCTTTAACTCAGGCAATTGTTTATGGTTGAATCACATGAAACTATAAAACACTTCATAAAGGTGGATCCTGACCAACAGTTGTTTTAGGAAGGTTCACCAGAAAGTGGAGTTTTAAAAACTGAAACTTGCTTTTTCATCTGATATTTTGACCTTTCCATTTCCAGGAGCTGCTTGATCCTGATTTTCCTCCCTTTCCCATCAAATGATTCAGGAATTTAGCAGTTTGCTGGCTAACCTAGGACATGTTGTGTGCTTCATATTCACTTAGATAATGTCAAAGACAGTAGCAGCATTCTGGACTGATGTCAAGACAACAAATTCTATAATGAAAGTATCTTGTTTCATGTATTTACACAAATAGAAAGATCCTCTGTAAGTTTTTGCTTTCATTTTCCCAAGATTGATTTTACACATTTCTTTCCACTTCAGCAGAGATCTGAGTTTGGGGAAAGCTAGATTTTATTTAATTATTTTATTTATTTTATTTTATTCTATTTTAGTTTAGTTTAGATTTTTTAGTTTTAGAAAATATGTTTGGTTATGAATGTTTGCAAATGACACCTTTGGATTTCTAGGAGATATCTTGGCAGTGGGAAGGACTATAAATCTTCATGCACACACTTCTGCAATCCAAGAAGAAACTGTAAGACCACCAAAGCCTGGCAAAAGAAAGTGAAATAAAAATGACTCTTCCCTTTTTCCTGCAACCGCCATAATTCAGAATACTAAATAATAAATCTGGCAGATGGAAATATTTAGATTGGAGCTAGAAGAGAAGATGCAGTATTATCAAAGTGGATTCTACTCTGCTTTTTAGTATCCAATGCCTCCATTAAAAAAGCACGAGGCAGAGCTATTCTAATGGAAAACATTTTATTTGCATTTATATGGGAGAGTGGAAACCTAAGTTTAAAACCACAAATTACTTTATATTTAATGTTTCAGTATTGGGGTTTGAAGTGTCCAGATGTGAAGAAATATCAGATATTTTGAACTGAACTTATTATCCAGGGGAAAGGAGAGGAAATACAAACAGATTTCCTCTAGTCTCTAAAAAACCTCAAAAGACAAAAGCAATATTGAGGAGTATATGACTGGGTGATCTGGGCCAAATAACCAAAAAGCTAAAAAAATAGTAGGAAGTAATTTTTATTAAATTAGAGGTTGCTAGTTTTCTTGTTCAGACTGACTTCAAAATATAATTTAATTATTGATGATTCATATATATCTAGGGAGAAAATTGTAATTTTGGAAATTAATCTTATGAAATCTGAAACATAGCCTTACTTTTAGTCAATATCTTAATAGGAGACAGTAGGAGATTAAGTGACATAATTAGTAATTACAGCAATTGATTTTATTCTAAATAAGGATCATGCTTAAAGGTCATGTTTAAATAAATTCAAAGAAGATAGAGAGGATCTCTCCTCACAAGGAGCCACATGGAGAAGGTAAGGAGTAACAGGTACAAGTTGCACTAGGAGTGGTTTCATCTTGAAATAGGAATGAAATTTTTTTACAGTAAGAACAATCACTCACTGGAACAACCTCCCCAGGGATGTGTCAGAGCCCCCATTGCTGGAGGTTTTCAAGATGTGACTGGACAGGGTTTTAGGTAATCTTATATAGCTCCCTTTCCCATGAAAGATTGGACCAGAGGAGCTCTTCAAGGTCCCTTCTGTCCTGGGCAGTTCTATGATTGTATGATCATCAGAGAAATTGTGGATGTGCCATCCCTGGAAGTGTTTAAGGCCAGGTTGGATGGGAATCCGAGCAACCCGGTCTAGTGGAAGGTGTTCCTGCCCACGGCAGGTCTTGTACAACACAAACTATTCTAGGATTCTGTGATTCTATGATCTATGCTGCTGCAATGTGGATGTTTAAGAATAAGGCAAAAACCATTGCCTATTCCTTTTCAAGGTGATGGATGAAAAATTATGCAAGCATTTCAAAAGGGAAAATGTTGAAGAACACAAGCGAGAGGACCGAGCTCTATTTTTTCAGTTCTTTACCATTTACAAAACGTATCACTGCTTTTTAAGTAGCCTTATTAGAAAACATTTGAAAGAAAAATTCTAGCAGTAGATGTTTCCAAAGGTCCTGTCCTCACTCATGTGTGGCATTAGAAAACATCAGTTATGCTGAAGGCTTCATCTCCCAGAACAGTACATCTGGTACTTGCCATTCTTAGGCTGTCACAGACATTTCCTTTCTAGCAGAATTCATCTGCAACATGGCCAGTATCTAAGAGGCTTATTAATAAAAGATTATACTGCCACTGTATTCTATTTGGTTTCATATAAATAATTTAGGCACAAAGGAATTCCCTGGTCCTTTTTTACAGACTTGAAAAAAAACCAACCCAATGCAATGTCAAAGAGAATTGTGGCAAATCAATCTGTTCTTACATTCTCTTACTAGAGACACATGATGAATTACAGAAATAGAGTGAAAAAGATTGTCAGAACAGTCAAATATGAGGTACAAAATGAAAAGAATTATAGAAGATGACACGGACACAGAGAACAAGAAAATAAGAGGAAGTGGTTGTATCGATGTTAGTGTTGGTCTGAAGGTAACAGTGTTTTATGAAACATTTAAAAATATTCTTTCTCTTTTTCATATTACGCATTTAAGTAAAAATTAAATCACTTTCACAGAGAGAATGCCCCAAAACACAGAAATAATTCAGCAGTTTGGCTGACTAGGGCTCTCACCTGAGGCTGGAAAGCTTCTCCACAGTGATAATCCAGAGTAGTACCTTGGATGGGTCCGTGAACTACTGCAGGGGTGATTTGATCAGTCAGATGTTCTAATGTTCTACTACAGCTGTCTCTTCTTCTTCATTCTGAACTCAGAAAGTTTCCTGATGAATGAAACCCATCAAACCTGTTTCACAAAAAATCCAGAACCAAATCTCATTGCTACAATTTTAGCAACTCAAAATGAGCTAGTCTGATTTGCACCAGTAAGGAATGGAGCCAGAGAGAGAAACCTCATAGATTACAGGTGACAGCTGGCTATTTCCTCTCTTTGCTCATTTTCTTTCTGTCATTTTAGAGTTCATCTAAATTAAACCTTCAAGCAACCTAATTTCCTATTTCTTAACTTTTCTCTCTCTCATTGCTCCTCAGCCTAAAAGAGCATTATGCAAAACTGCAGGGTTGGTCTACTACCTATAGCTTTTAAAATAGGTTTCTGAAGGTCTAAGTCTCCAACATATTCTGTCCTGCCCCCATAAACAATCACCACTTATATCAATGGTCTCAGCTCACACACCTCCATGTAACTGCAGTATTGTGTCACTATTGCTGGCACGGTCACATCTGACAAAGTCACAAATTCAGTTCTCCATGAAGGACATGCCTGATGATTTTAATTAGATGAGAATTCGCAAAGGCAGCCAGTAAAAGTTATAATCACAGATATCCACAGAATATTCTTAGATGGAAGGGACTCACAAAGATCATCGAGTCCAGCTCTTAAGTCAACAACCCCATGTGGGGACTGAACCTGTGACCTTGGCATTACTTGCACTGTGCTCCCACCAACTGCACCAGTCCACTCCCTCCATCCCCTACTGCAGGAATAAAACTGGAGCCAGTTACATCAGAACCAGTTGCAGGGAATCAAAGTCATATTCCAACAAGATAACAGACGTGTTTTTCATGTACAAATCCTGCATCCATTAAAAAGGTCCATAAAAAAGTAACTTTATGCCATCACACTAACTGATGATAAACTTCATTCCACTGCTGAGGAAGATGGATGGAAGACCTAACAAGGGGCAAAATGAGCCTCTAAACCACTCAAAAAAATCGTGATCATCATCTATTTAGACTCAAGCAGTTGTAACTTTCATTTGTTCTCTGCTTACCATTAGAGAGGAACAGCAACAAAAATAAAGAAATTAAATATCAGGTTTTCAACTTGCTATGCTCCTTAAAACTGCCACGTGAAAACTGCTTACTGTATTACAGGAAATGTTGCATGTTTGAATAAAAGAAAGCTACCAAATGTAAAGTCAATCTTCTATTGCTTATGTGAGCATTCTAACAAGCAGTCTAGTCATTTACTGCATTTATAATTCCTTCGTTTTGGAAAAGAAAAAGTATATTCCTGTGTAAGAAAAATAACTCTTCTTAATTAACTTTTAATCCTGCCTTTTTGTTGCCAAGCCATCTCCTTTACACTTACCAACCACTTTCTTTGTGTTTCATGTCATATTTTGTGCACCTCGTTCTGCTAGTAAGCATTACACTTGCATTACTTTTATTCTATGGCAATAACAAAGCATGAAGTTACTAATATGATGGAAATATCTTAAAGGAACATGACTGCACTAATTTATGGTAAGACTAAAATAATGCTATTCTGTAATTAAAAATGTGAAAAAACAATAAATGTTAAATACTAAGTTAAATACTAAGTCAGCTGCTTTTATAAATCCATTAAAAAGGGCTGACCATCCTATAAAGCAGAACCCTTCAAACACTTGCTTTGTTCCAAAATCCTTAGTTTGAATACCCTTACTCCTCTTATAAAAATAAATACAACTTTCAGTTCAGCTCTAGAAAAGTGTAATTGATTCCTGTTCATGGGGTTTCCAGAGCCATAAGTGCCAAAAGACTTAATAAAACATACAAATCGGTCAAGACATGAAAAATTCAATATTAAGTTTCCATTATTTTACTTAAAATGTGGAATGTATAGAAGTATTATTGTAAATTTTAATAAGAACACAAAGGATCAAGACAGTGAACACTGGTAAGGCAGCTTAAAAAGAAGGTTGTGGTTCACTGATCCACTACAGACTAGATCAGTCAACATCTGTCTGCCAAATAATGTCACTAGAATAATGGATAGTTTGAGAAGGTTGTATACAACATTTATAGCATTTCTGATAGCGTGACTATTCTTTAAGGTTACAAATGTTCTAAAAGACATTAAAAAGTTTCTAAAGGGAAGCATTTTTTTTTCCATAGGAAATGCAATGTGCCAAGAGCACCCTGTCTGTCACTTTATCATCCATCTGTATGACAATCCCTTTGCTGCCTTCTGGTCTTACCTGTAGATTTTTTCCTCTGTCTCTCCTGCCTGTCTGCCTCTGGGTTCACTTCTCCATTTGAGAATTATAGTTCAAATAAGAATATATATGAATTCAATTCTGGAAAAAAAAAAAAAGAAAGAGAGTTACCAAGATCTTTATAAAGCCTCAGGCACTATGGAAAAGCCAGAATGCAAGGCCAGACAATGCCTCAGGCTTATGGCAAAGGGCAGCATAATTCATAGTCTGGGGGCACATAGGAAAGTATAGATGTGTCTTATTGAAACTGAAGAGCATTCCAGGATCCCAAGGACTGCAGTTAGAACAGAAAGTTCCTCCATTCCAAAGGAAGATTTAGAAGTACTTTGTGGCCTGAGATCTTGGATGAGCCTCTTACAGTGAGAGAGGCCATTTTTAACAAATACAGGTGCTTACACCAGGCTGAGTTTATGGTACAACTAGAAATTGCAGTGGCCTTTATAGTTAAAGAGCACATTCCTCTTTTAATGAAAAAGTGGTGACATAAAATGTCTAGGCAGCCCATTCTTAGAGTCCTCCAAAACTGAAGCATTGGAAAGTGGCTCAGTGATTTAGCTCTGGACATTTAACCCTCCCTTTTACTGGCACATCTGAAGGAAGGTTCAGGTCTATACTTCCTTGTCAGCTAGACAAGAAGGCTGAAACATTATTTGTATTGCTACAACACCATGTAGATGGTTAAATGGAGAACTTAATAATTATTTCATATAAAAAATACAACTTAAAAAAAAAAAAAAAAGAGTCAGTGGAATCATAGAATCCTTAACATTGGAAAAGACCTCTAAGGTCACCAAGTCCAACCATCAACTCAGCAGCCCCACCATGCTCAACACTAAACCCTGTCCCTCGGTGCCTCATCTACACATCTTTAAATACCTCCAGGGATGGTGACTCTACCACTTCCCTGGGCAGCCTGTTCCAGTGCTTGACAACCCTTTCTGTGAAGAAATTTTTCGTAATATCCAGTCTGGAAGATAACTTCCATCAGATTAGGAAATCAAGGGTCCTATCAGTGTGGGTTTAGCAACTCTCAGGAAGCTTCCTAGAATTTTACTCAGGAAACTACAAAATATATATTCCTGAAGTACTGAAAACTAAAATAAGGACCCTTCCCCTTCCTCTTCCCCTTCCCTTCTCAATTTGAAGTATCCTAAATAAGGAGTTCATATGCTAATATCAAGTTATTGTGCAAAGACCAAAGCTTCTTGAGAGTTTCTTTCCTATTAATGCTTCTTTCAAGCTGCACTTTCTAGATTTGAAAAGGAAGAAAGTGTGCTATGGTTTGAAAGGAGAAATATGAGAAATACAAAGAAAGACAAAAATAAGAGGGACAAAAAATGGAAAAAAACCCTAAAAGTAACCATTTCACTTGCTAGTGTATTTTAGTCTTTTAAATGTCATAGTCTGAGGTACTCTAACAAACATGAATACATTTGTGCAAGGGAGTATCAAATGAGATGTATTCCTCAGGCTCTGGAAAGTTGCCTCTGCAATTTTCTATTGGTCCTAGAACAGTTCCTCTTACAAAAAAAAAAAAAAGCACACAAAGCACACAAAACAAAACAAAAGCTCAGGCTTAACAGAGGGAAACTCCATGTAAGTTTAACATTTAATTTCATAATCCAGTACAAAGCAAAAAGGCATCATGGAGAACATTTCTAGAAATGTAAGGAAGCAGAGTAAATACTAATTTTCAGCCATCATTAAGCTCTTTGATTATAAGAGACTTCAAAAAATCATGCTCAGAAGAGCTTTCTGTCCTTAGTACTGCAGATAAAGTTTGGCATTGATCTGTCAGCAGAGGAGATCTACTTTTTAGATTTTTGTTAAAATGAAACAGAAATTTTAAGTGATAGTTTCGAAGAGATGATAACAAAATTTATTTTCTTGTGTCAAACACTTTGCTTAATGGCAGACATTTCTCTCATCAGCAAATTTTCTCTGAGACTCTTACAAACCCAAAAAGGGACAGATTTAATTTGTGAAAAATACTCCTCATAACCATGACCTGTATAGAGTAGTGCAGGTATATGCATAAACCTGTAAAGCTTCCATAGACATATTAAAAACAGGATTGACTCTCTGTGCATGTGTTGTCCAGAACACAAGACAGACTAGTAAAAATCTGTGTAAACATGTCCTGTCCTCAATAAATATATGTACTGCACATTTTACATATATTTATAAATTTGGAGAAATACACACTTATGCACTTTATAAGATCATTACAGAATCAACCAAATGTCAATAGGGTGCGTAGGCAGCACAAAAATAAGTTTAATTTGTAGGAAATATGTTTCCAATATATTCTGAAGTAAATGAACATAAATTAACCATATTAAGAACAATTAAAAAAAAGTTACATATTGCTTTCTTTATGTACCATAACACTTTTGGATATTTTCCAAACATTTATCAGAAAAATTGCTTCAACACTCTATAAAAGGCTTCTATACATTTTCATAAGAGTTCCCATGCCTTCCAATATTCCTCTCCCAAATAAAGTGGAACATATGCTTGTGAAAATATCTTCCACATTTCCTCTTGATATATCCAGTATGCGTATCAATATTATTTTTTGTCATACATCACTTCACCATACATCACATTTTCATACATATACTTTAAACATAATCAAAATATTTCAGAACATATTGCTTTTACCATAGGAAACACAGGAAAAGCTGCCATCAGTGGTCACCCAAGGGACCAACAAAAAAAATAAATTGCTGCTTAACAGAGGTGGTCTTTTTCTGAAGTCAAAGCAGCAGAGTGCATTCAATACTTGTGGGAATACTTTGGCTTGATTTCTTTACAACAAGAAATGGCTTAGACAGGGTGGTCCCATGAATAACTCCCTGTCTCACTTACTTGATGATAAACTCAAATAATAACATAATAAGCCTTACCCATATGTAACACAACTCCACGAGAGCTTGACTGATCCTAAAGGTGCACAGGCCAGCGAGTTTGAAATGTAGAACTGGCTTACCCTTCATGAGGGTATTTTCACTTTCTCTTTTTTTAAAGGATCAAACAAAACATATTTTGAGTAAAATGACAATGGTGGTGTAAAAGGATTTTTGTTAAAAATTGCTGTACAGTTCCCTTTTTTCAAAATAAATCTTTATTATCTCTTCTATTTTTCCATATCCAGCTTCAATCAATAACTGAAAAGAAAAAAAAAAGAGAGTGAGAAATAAACCAACCCTCAAATCTTATAAATATCTCAGATTTATTTAACATAACCTTTACTTTTCCACCAATTGTACAACACCCACATATTCAAGGCCCTGTGACTTTTATAGCACTCATTTCTGAGTTAACTACTGTCACCTTTTTTTTTTTTTTCCTCCTTGGCAGCATCTTCAAGAAAGGATTTTGCAGTTTCTACTGAAGAAGTCCTGGTAAAGTTGAACACCTGAAAAAAATAGTGAGGAAAACAAAAGAGAGGAAGAATAGTGGAGACACATGGACATGGGGACAGAGCGGAGAGGAGGCAAAGGGAATGCACACTGCTTTCAGGGAGAAAGAGAAGCACTGGGATCTCAAGAAGAAGCTGAAGAGAAAAAAAAAACAGTATAATTAAGAGGGTATAAGGACTCATATCGGTCAGCAAGAGTCTCCCCCTAATACTGGTGCTGCCTTCACTCTCCCAGATAAGAGAAGTGCGCTGGCAGAGCGGAGGCATGGTCAGACCTTGAGGTGCTGCCATGAGACCATCTCAGCAGGCACAGGTGGAAGGGAGGCCTCTGAGAAATTTCACAGCTAATTGTGAGAAGGCAGAGGGGCCTTTCCTTGTTTTGTTTTGCTCTTCAATTTATAAACCCTGGGGCTTTCAGGATAAAGCTTTGAGCATAATAAAATATTTCCTGCTAGAGCAGGTTGCTCTTAGCAACCACAGAAATCCCCCGCACGCTCTTTTCTAGTGCTTACCAACCACTCGCACAAACTGTTTGCGACTGCCAGGCCCAGCAAACCGTCATTAAAAAGCAACCAAGCCTATGAGCCCACCCACTTCTGACTTGGTTTGCCATCTGAGGGTTTTGTCTGCTGCTGGTCTCCTCTCAGATCATGCATTTCCAGGCTGAGTGATCAAGAACACCTGCTCGTTCCGTCTCCTCCAGATGCACATGCACAGACTTTTGGCCGACCAAGGCTGTCTGCAGTGCTGTCAAAGACAGGCAAGCCCACTGCCTGTAAGCCTTTGTTGTTCCTACACTAAAGAAAATGTAATTTGCCCAGTGTTGGCCTGACAACGAGGCTCTTTTTTCCTATGGACACCTGGACTTCTGGGTATTTTATCCCTGTGGATGCTCCAAGGAAACAAAAACTTCAGAAAATCCTTTCAGGCACCCTGCAAGGGATGGCAGTCACTCTCTGGAAGGTCTTCAAGCAGCCATTTAAGCATCACTTACTGTGCTTTCATTATTTCATTAAAGACAAGCCTAGACAGGGCTGCTGGTGGCAGGGGGACAGTCTGACCATCACAGTGCCCTGCTGAGCACGACTGTCACACCTGTGGGCCCCTTGAGGTGGGCAAGGAGCTTGTCTGCCCCACACCCAATTCACACTTTTGTATATTGTGTTCTCCCACCCAACCAAAGCAGCTTCAGGGTCTGTCTGACTGACCATGCAAGTGCAGAAACTGCAGAAACTCACAGGACAGGAAGGACAAGTGACACAGCTAACTACTTTCAGCCAGAGCTGCTATCCAGGGCAGTTTAAAATGATCATGAAACACAACCTGAAATACATCTGAAAACACTTTTTTTCCAGCAGTTGTGAAAAAAACTGTATTAATGTTCAGAAAGACGTTAAATTTCAGCACTGGATGCAGCCAAAGGACATGGTGAGTTAGAAAAGATCTAGGCAACCTTACGAGTCTGTTGTCAAGATTATCCTGTCTTAAACTATACCACTAAGACCTCACACACTGAGTTTCTAGGACTCCAATCTTTGAGAAGCTCATGGGAGGAGAAGGAACTTAACAACTTTCCACTTCATATGAAGACTTTGACAGGGTGTCAGAAGTAATTTTTCAAGTATGACATTAAAGCGCCTTGGGAAGACTGCACCAGAAACCCCGTGGTTGAAAAGGGCCCCAAACCCAAAAACATCCAAAGACAAAACGCCCCTTGAACTCAGACTGACCCGAGCAGAACCAGATAGTGCAGAGGAGCAACTTGGAACCAGAAGGAAGCACAACACAGCCGTTCTGCCCCTGCACCTTCCTCCCTGCCCAGCTTCTCAAACTCTAGGAATATATCAGATTAAAATCAGAGTTAAAAACAACCACCACCAACAACAAACAAACCAAACAAAAAACACAAAAACAAACATGCAACTATTTCTACTTTTTCTGCCCTAAAATATTTTCAAATGGCTAAAGTAATTCTATCATAAATAGCTTTCTTGTTTGGGTGAAGCTTTACATGCCAAACCTTAGCCTCGAGTGAGTATTTATAGTAGAGTTTAAAATCCCTGAAAATAGGGATTTATATTTATAATGGAAAGGTTGACGAGTTTTTGCTGTAGCTATATTAGCAGACTGTTTTATAACAAAAAGGTGTTATTTTAACAGGAGCACTTATAAAAGCAGTCTAATGTAGTTAGGAAAGAATGAACTTTACAAGGTGAACGTACAATTTAACACAAATATTCATGCCAAAACATCAAACAGCAGATCATGAGAGCAGTCTATTTAGTATGCAGTTTCTCATAGACCATCTGATTTTAGACTTTTACCAGTGAGAAATGCAACATCTTCTTCATAAATCAGAATTAAGTCTTCATTAATTTTAATAGCCAATGTCTTACGTGGAGTCATATTTAGTTGAAAGAAGTTTATGAGCAGAATTCAATAGATTAATAAATTTCATCAGTGGTGGTGAGTGGGCTGATGGCATAATATTAAAAAGAGGAACTGTATATGCAAATTCAATAAACTTCAGGATTTTTTAATGCATATCACTTAGAGCATAGTATCAAGATGTCCTCCTAGGAGTTGATTAAAAAGAGGAGAAATTCTAATTCCACAGAAGAGAGAGGAAACCCTTTTGGAAAAAAAAAAAAAAAAGAATATGAACAAGAAACCTGGTATTTCTCTACAAATCACACCAGCAAATTCTGCATAAAAAGCAGGGTACGTTTCCCTACTCACTTGTCTCAGCATAAATCCAGAAAAAGCAGCTTTGTAAAAGGAGTTGCGGTGGAGAGGATCCCCCAGACCCTGCCAGCAGGCTTCAGAAACACCCACCTGCAGCTTCTCTGCAGAGCTGGGACAACTGTTGAATCCCCAAATTTCCTCTCCCAAAAGCTCTACAAACAATGCAATTATCACCATCGCCTCCTCTAACCCATTCTCATACTTCTCTTTCAGCTGGTCTCTTCAAAGCTGTACCAGAAGCTCCTCTCTCAGCACAGAAGGCAGCGGATTTCACAGAGTGGGCTGCAGACATCACACCATACATGCAATACATATTTTGACAGCTCAAGAAATCCCCCAGGGCATCCTGCAAGCCCTCATGCAGACCATGGCTGACCAAAGTGCCCTGCCCAAAATCTACCTTTGGTGCACATCTTCCCACAGCATAAATCTGTGGAGCTCTGACTAGGGTGAGACTTAAACTGAGCTTTCCAAAACCAAAAAAAGTCACTGCAAGTACTCCTGTGAAGTATCCCCTGTAGGGCAATGAACCTGTCGGTCAATCAATATAAAAAAGCCCAAGTTCCACAAGCACTTACATACCTGCTTAAATTTAAGCCTCTGGGTAGTCCCTCTGTGTGTCAGTGGGCCTTCTCACTTGAAATCAAGCAAAATCCGTAAGTGTTTATAGGGTTAGGAAATGAAGCACTGAAGTTGTTAGTATTCTCCCACAACATCTAGAAGAATTAAGAACAAATCTTCTCAATTTGTAAGATTCATTGTAAAAGAAGAGTACATTATGTGGCTGTTTAAATGCTGTAAGAAAAGCAATACAAGAAAGAAAAGAATGTCTGTGCATCTTTTCTCCACCTCTGTTTCAAATTCAGTGTTGCCTTTTGCTTTCTTTTACTACTTCTTGCTTTATTTCCTCAGATGAACAAACTTATGGTCTCTTACTTGTTTTTAACAACTATAGTCTCTGCAGGATGACAATTGCAACAGCAGTTTTCCAATAATTCTTTAAATGGAACTGGAGGATTAGCTGGTTGATAAAGACACTCCCTTTGCAGATAACACACTACAGTGACATGGATTCAGGTCATTATAAAGAAAATGCTTAAAAATATTCATTATACCTAGGAAGTCAATATTAAATGTTGGAATTCTTTCTTTAATTTCTAAAGAAAATCATTTCTCTTACCGAGGTTGATCTCCATGAGGTGACTCATGATTTAGAGGAATAAGCAGTTCCTCAGGCTGCAAAACTAGTGGATTTTTAATATTTTATTGTATTGTATACAATTTTGAGTTTGTTAGAGCAATTTCTCATTGCCAAAGCGTTATGCAGCTTGTACCATTTATTTCATTTTTTCTGCTGCATCAGCAGCTGAAGGAATATACATTAACTATACAGAAATCCTTTTCACTGTCCCATTTCCAGATTTGGAGAAACATGACATAAATTCAGTGCTTGATTCCAGGACAGCTCCCTCAACCCCTAATTTTTAAAGAGTCAGAAAACCAATGAAAGCTCATATCTCACAGCACCTTGTTGGTATGCTCAACTGAAATCAAGCACTGTTGATCAGCTCCCGTTATTGGATATTGATTCCCCTGCAAAAGTGACTAATACCCTCCAAAAACCTGGGCAATTCAATGTGCTCACCTCACACTGAACACATGTTTCCCATTAAAAGCCATCAGGAAGCAAGCACGCATATTCAAGGAATGAGTTGTGTTTCTCTGTGCATGTTTGGTCCATAAAATAAATTTTTTCCTTCCCATGAAACTGAACAACCTTATGTCCACTGCAGACAATGGAAAAGAGTCATTGACTCCAACATGCTTTACATCAGGCCCTCTGTACTTCTAGTTATTCCAGGCACAGATTTCCCAGTGCCTAATGTGGGGTTAGTCACTTAAAAGCATTCAGGACTTTTATAACACT